CGATGGCTGTCCATTCTCCATTCTCCAATGAATAGCTATATATGGCTTTAATTTATTTATAATTTTCTTAGATTCTTTAATGATATATGGTGAATACGGGATTACTTTATTGATACTTGGAAAAGTTTCTCTAGGCAACGTGTTTAATATCATTATTACTTCATATTCTTCTGTCATAGGAGGAGCATTTAGAGTATTTGTAACCAATTTGAACATTACTTCTTTGCCTAATTCATCTAAATTTTCAATCCCTGCATGAAATTCTTTATAATTTGTGATGTTTAATTTAAATTGGTCTATGCAATAGGATCTTTCAGGTTTAACACCTTCTTCAACTCCCATAATTTTTTTTTCACGATTAGTTCTATTTACACGATCGTTGATCATCCACGAATGTTGTGCAATTGGTCGGATTTTTCTTTCTTTTGTCCAGTTAAGAAATTTTTCTTGTGTTATAAAACGAATATCTGGATACTGTTTTTTAAATACTTTCATATTATAATAAAAATCAAACTCATATAGAGAACATGCTTTGACATGGGATTCTCCAACGTTTGCTAGGACAAATGTACGGTTTAGAGATCGTGCTAATTGCGTGTAAGTGCGAGTATGAACATTTGCGCGAGTCTCTTGCTCTGGTTGCTGATATGGAAATAAGAATCTACATATTTTCTCTTGACAATATTTTATATTAATCTTTTCATCCTCCGTTAATGGCGTTTCAAGCGATGTATCCTCTTCAATAGATTTATTAGTATTATGTATTTCCTATATTTAAAACAATTAATTTTTTAATGTATTATTGATTTGGTAGATTTCACCGACGATATCACCGATATACATTTCACTGACAGCCATTTGCCAATAACCCATTTTCCAGATCCCCAACAGCTCACTTCCTCGATTTCACTTCTTCAACAGTCTATTTCTCGACAGTTCATTTTGCCGACAATCCTATTTTTTTGGCTTTCTATTTTACTATCCAACTTTAATAATAAGATGGCCAACCCTAATATAAATCGAGCCAAATTTGTCGATATCGAGGAAATGAACTGTCGGAGAAGTGAAGTTGGGAAGTGAGCTGTCGGCAATTGACTGTCGAAAAAATGGGTTGTCGGAAAAATGGGTATCGATGTCGGTGAAATTGCAAAATAACTGCCGGTGAAATTATCCTTTAAAATATTTTAAGAAATGTTTACCTCAACCAATTCTGTGGGCTCTGGTGCTCTTAACTTTAAGGAAATACTGACAAAGCTCCATAATATGAAAATTAATATAATTTTATATATGTTTTTTTTTATAAATTCAAATATCGTATTTTGTAAAGTGTTGAATTTTGATAACATCATATTTAGACATTTAATACTTTATTATATGCTATTTTCTGTTTAATATAAATACTTTTTCAGAGAAAAATTTAAAACGGGATGAATTATTATTATTATTATTTGTTTATATATTTTTAATCTATTCCTTGCTATACTCATAAACGTGCTAACCTTATTAACTTAAATGAATTTAAAATAAGTTTATCAATTATTATTTATCAAATTTAGCTCATAAAAAAAATCTGATTATATATGTTACTAGTAAGGTTTAATCCGGTAAATAATAAATAGTAAAATCAAAGCCTGAAATCTCGTCCTAATTTGGCAGCACTCAAACGGTAATGTCGAAAACGATAATAGTTGGCATACGCTCATTTCCTCAAAAACTATTTCCAAAACATACATAACCATATAGGGCATTCAATGTATTGTGGTTTTATGCTGAATAGAGATTTATACGTATGATAAAATCCATCCCAATTTGGAAAAGTATATTAGTGTTGATGAAACATACATTATCGCGTTTGACGCTCAATGTTACTTTAACTTGTTAGGATAATTTAATGACCGAAACTAGATAATCGTGAAACACCATTGTAGATCATAGATCAATTGTAGATTTGTAGATCTACTACTACTAGTACATGTGATGATCAACCGATCAAATTAAGAAAAAAAAAATCATAAAAACTAATAAGCACACGAAAAAATTTATCGCTTGTATTTAGAAATTAGATAGATATGCGTAAAGTGAGGCAAATATAATATTTATTATCAATAAACCCGAACTCAAAGAATTTACAATCTATGTTATACTTTTCCAAATTGGGATGGATTTTATCATACGTATAAATCTCTATTCAGCATAAAACCACAATACATTGAATGCCCTATATGGTTATGTATGTTTTGGAAATAGTTTTTGAGGAAATGAGCGTATGCCAACTATTATCGTTTTCGACATTACCGTTTGAGTGCTGCCAAATTAGGACGAGATTTCAGGCTTTGATTTTACTATTTATTATTTACCGGATTAAACCTTACTAGTAACATATATAATCAGATTTTTTTTATGAGCTAAATTTGATAAATAATAATTGATAAACTTATTTTAAATTCATTTAAGTTAATAAGGTTAGCACGTTTATGAGTATAGCAAGGAATAGATTAAAAATATATAAACAAATAATAATAATAATAATTCATCCCGTTTTAAATTTTTCTCTGAAAAAGTATTTATATTAAACAGAAAATAGCATATAATAAAGTATTAAATGTCTAAATATGATGTTATCAAAATTCAACACTTTACAAAATACGATATTTGAATTTATAAAAAAAAACATATATAAAATTATATTAATTTTCATATTATGGAGCTTTGTCAGTATTTCCTTAAAGTTAAGAGCACCAGAGCCCACAGAATTGGTTGAGGTAAACATTTCTTAAAATATTTTAAAGGATAATTTCACCGGCAGTTATTTTGCAATTTCACCGACATCGATACCCATTTTTCCGACAACCCATTTTTTCGACAGTCAATTGCCGACAGCTCACTTCCCAACTTCACTTCTCCGACAGTTCATTTCCTCGATATCGACAAATTTGGCTCGATTTATATTAGGGTTGGCCATCTTATTATTAAAGTTGGATAGTAAAATAGAAAGCCAAAAAAATAGGATTGTCGGCAAAATGAACTGTCGAGAAATAGACTGTTGAAGAAGTGAAATCGAGGAAGTGAGCTGTTGGGGATCTGGAAAATGGGTTATTGGCAAATGGCTGTCAGTGAAATGTATATCGGTGATATCGTCGGTGAAATCTACCAAATCAATAATACATTAAAAAATTAATTGTTTTAAATATAGGAAATACATAATACTAATAAATCTATTGAAGAGGATACATCGCTTGAAACGCCATTAACGGAGGATGAAAAGATTAATATAAAATATTGTCAAGAGAAAATATGTAGATTCTTATTTCCATATCAGCAACCAGAGCAAGAGACTCGCGCAAATGTTCATACTCGCACTTACACGCAATTAGCACGATCTCTAAACCGTACATTTGTCCTAGCAAACGTTGGAGAATCCCATGTCAAAGCATGTTCTCTATATGAGTTTGATTTTTATTATAATATGAAAGTATTTAAAAAACAGTATCCAGATATTCGTTTTATAACACAAGAAAAATTTCTTAACTGGACAAAAGAAAGAAAAATCCGACCAATTGCACAACATTCGTGGATGATCAACGATCGTGTAAATAGAACTAATCGTGAAAAAAAAATTATGGGAGTTGAAGAAGGTGTTAAACCTGAAAGATCCTATTGCATAGACCAATTTAAATTAAACATCACAAATTATAAAGAATTTCATGCAGGGATTGAAAATTTAGATGAATTAGGCAAAGAAGTAATGTTCAAATTGGTTACAAATACTCTAAATGCTCCTCCTATGACAGAAGAATATGAAGTAATAATGATATTAAACACGTTGCCTAGAGAAACTTTTCCAAGTATCAATAAAGTAATCCCGTATTCACCATATATCATTAAAGAATCTAAGAAAATTATAAATAAATTAAAGCCATATATAGCTATTCATTGGAGAATGGAGAATGGACAGCCATCG